TTTCTCACCGAACGAGGATTGACTGACAAAGTCTTCCGTAAAACAGCTCTTCACAGAAGGAGATGTTCTTGCTGTGTGTGCAAACCATTTATTTGGAGAGAGACTCACAAGCGATTCAGTCTTAGGAGGTTTTTGTGAATTGCACTGCTGTGGAACAGTGCAGCAGAAACCTTGTAGTGCAAAGCCGACGCTTGGGGATTTCGAAGCCTGCACATTATTTCAGAAGCAAGTGCCTTCGGGAAGATTATCTATATTCAGATACTTGTCAAGATTATCGTTATTTTACCTCTCAGATGTTTGAAGCCTTTCCCGGTCAAATTCCAACGTTTTCCGAGAAAACTTTCCGTTGTTTGATTTTGTCACAGGCGATAGTCCGCGATAACCTCTGGCATGTCCAGCAAACGCTCCTTTGCTGGATTGTAGGAGTTGACTTGCTAATTTTACCTTGTATCGATATACAGTGAACCAAGATTCCGATTCTTGCGATCACAAGGATTTCAAACGCCAATTAAATACTTGTCACGTATTACCATTCTGGCAGATTAGTGCTAAAACTTTACCCTTGAAGTTCTTCCTTTTAGACGGGTTGAATTTTATTTTGAAATTGCAATTTCAGATACTGCATTAGTCGCTCGGATTCATCGAGATTTCTCTGTTCCGTGAACTCGTTGTTTCGGACATATTTTGACAAGTTCTCGAAAGTTCTGACAGCCGATGACAACACGTGCGCACTCAGACATGAAAGGTCAAGTGGGCGGTTTTCAAAATCCAGGGGTTTGTCTGCAAGCGTTTCCTTCCTTTCCCTTTCCCTCCCCCTCTTTCCTCGTTTTGGCTCTCGCACCATTTTTCGCGCGGGCAAAACGCCGAAAATCCCTTCTTTGCTCCCCAACCCCACGGAAACGCTTGCTACGCAAGCTACGACAGCCCAGCACAAGCAATGGCACGGGATGGTCAATTTCTCAGCTCAAACCTCCCGGAAACTTGAATTTCGGAAATCCCAGTGAGCTTCCTCACGCCTGGAAAAGATGGAAGGAAGAAATTACTCTTTACAGGGATTTGGCATTGGAAGGGAGAGATGAAAGGATGAAGGTTAAGCTCTTTCTCTATATTATCGGCAACCAAGGACGAGAGATATACGATACGCTGCCATTTACACGTGGCCCAAGCGGGCGTTCGCTGCAGGACGTGATTGATGCCTTGGAAACCCATTGCAATCCCAAGAAAAATGAAACAGTATAAGTTCTTCACTAGAATACAACAAGAAGGAGAACCGGTAGAAAAATTCATAGTTGTCCTGAAGATCTTAGCTTCAACTTGTAATTTTAGCACCCTGCGGGACTCGCTGGTCCGTGACCGAATCATCTGTGGAATTCGCGACTCAAAGCTCAGAGAAGATCTTTTGAAAGTTCCCGACTTAGATCTTGATAAGTGCATCAATGCATGCAGAGCCTCCGAATTATCGAAAGAAAGAAATAAAGCAATCGAGGCGACGTCGGAAACAGTGCATCATTTACACAGCGGAAACAAAAGGAATCAGGACGGCAAGGATGACAAAGATGCGCACCGGAAACTGATCCGAAAATGTAAATTCTGCGGAAGACAGCATTGGCGAGGAAACTGCCCAGCATATGGTGTAGAATGCCAAAAGTGCTACAAACCAAATCATTTCCTTCTGTTTGCATGTCTAGGAAGCCAAAGCCAGTACACTCTGTGGAAAGCGAGGACGAAAATATTAGCGACGATGATGAAATCAAAACAGCCGATTTGAACCCCGATGACGAGATCAACGCCGTGACGGCACGCAAATTTCCAAAACGACTGTTCGCGACAATAAATGTGGCCAAGACGCCAGTACGCTTTCAGCTCGATGGTGGAGCTTCTTGCAACGTCATCTCGGCGAAAACTCTCGAAAATTGCCTGGTTCAAGTTGAATTAAAGAAGACAACCAAAACGCTCTCCATGCACAACGCACCACGGTGCAACCGCTGGGACTCTGTCAGCTGGACCTCTGCAATACCAAAACCGACACAGCCTATCAAGCAGAATTCACAGTCCTAAAACAGGATTGTACCCCTCTTCTTGGGAGCGAAACCATACAAGAAATGGATCTCATTCGGATCTGTTTTGATAACATTCTGTCTTTAGATCGTAGCTCGGAGAGCAAACCGGTTACCAAAGAATCACTCATTGCAAAGTTTCCAAATGTCTTCGATGGCACCGGTAAGCTTGATGGCGCGTACCACCTGGAAATTGAAGCAGGTGCCACCCCTGTGGTTCATCCCCCGCGAAAAGTTTCCATCGTCATCAAGCCTCAACTCAAAGAGGAATTGGAACGATTGCACAAGATTGAAATTCTAGCTCTTGTCACAGAACCCACTCCTTGGGTTTCTAGCGTGGTTATAGTAAAGGAGCCCAATGGTAACTTGCGCATATCCATAGATCCGAAAGATCTAAACAAAGTCTTAAAATGCAGTCATTATCCGTTACCCACCATCAAGGATATCCTGCCAGACCGCAGCCGTGCCAAAGTATTCAGCACATTCGACGTCAAGAACGGATTCTGGCACATCGAACTCGACGAAGAGAGTTCAAAACTGACCACATTTAATACGCCTTTCGGAAGGTACCGTTGGCTACGATTACCCTTTGGCCTCTCCTCGGCTCCAGAGGAATTCAAAAGACGCCAACACCAGGTTGTTGAAGGTCTTCCGGGAGTGCTGTCCATACACGATGATATTCTAGTCTATGGTGAAGGCGATACCTATGAGGAAGCACACCAAGATCACGATAGAAAGCTGGAAAATCTCATGATACGGTGTCAAGAACGCAATGTGAAGCTCAACAAAGAGAAAATGAAACTCAGGCGCAATGAAGTTCCTTACATTGGTCATGTCCTCACCAATAAAGGACTCAAAACTGACCCGACAAAATCAAGGCTATGCTGGAAATGCCCAAGCCGACAGTTGTGGCCGGAGTGCAGAGATTAATCGGCTTTGTCAATTACCTCAGCAAACTTCTGCCTCGCCTCAGTGACGTATGCGAACCCTTCAGAAAACTAATGGCAGAGGATGTGGAGTGGCATTGAACAGATAATCAAGATCAAGCCTTCCAAAGGATTCCTTAGCTAGTCACTGAAGTACCTGTATTGAAATACTACGTGCCAACAGAAGAGCTGACCTTCCAGAGCGATGCCTCACAAACAGGACTGGGCGCAGTACTGACTCAAAACGGTCGGCCTCTCGCATTTGCCAGTAGAGCCTTGTCCGACGCTGAGACCAGATATGCCCAGATCGAAAAGGAGCTTCTATATGTTGCTTTTGGCTTAGGGAAGTTCCATCAATATACATATGGCCGAAAAGTCACAGTGCAAACCGACCACAAGCCACTTGAAGCTATCGTAAAGAAGCCCCTCCACATGGCCCGAAACGACTCCAGCGCCTCTTGCTACGCTTACTAGTGTATGAGGTTACCCTCACCTACAGCTGTGGCTGCCAGATGCATTTAGCAGACACGTTAAGCAAAGCACACTTGCCCCTCTCCGATGTGACAACGTTCGAGGCGGAGGTTCAGAATGTAAACATGGTCCAAGATTTGCCACTAGCAGCAACTAGACTAGATGACGTCCAAACCCACACTGCAAAGGACGACACCTTACAAGTGCTAACAAGAGTCATCCTAGACGGGTGGCCAGAGGATAAAGGTGCCGTTCCAGCAGCAGCAATGCCCTACTTCAGTATTCGAGACGAACTGAGCGTCCAAAATGGGATAATCCTTCGCGGAGAAAGGGCATTAATTCCAAAGTCGCTCAGACATGACATGCTGAGGCGGATCCATGCGTCCCACATTGGCGTGCAAGGGTGTCTACGACGAGCAAGAGAGTGCGTGTATTGGCCAGCCATGTCCAGTGAAGTGAAAGATTTCATTCTGAAGTGCGACATTTGCCGCTCGGTTGATAACAAACAGCAAAAGGAAACCCTCATTCCCCATGACGTCCCTGACCGTTCATGGGCCAAAGTGGGCACTACAGCCAGTTCCGTAATCAGAAAGATGAAGATGCAGTTTGCCCGATATGGTATTACCGATATCTGTGTTTCAGACAATGGCCCGCAATTCACAGCCCATGAGTACAAGAAGTTCAGCAAGCAGTGGAAATTTGAACTGGTCACGACATCCCCTAGATACCCTAAGAGCAATGGGAAGGTTGAGAATGCCGTTGGAGCAGCTAAGCGACTGATGAAAAAAGCAAAGAAGAATTCTTCCGATGCTTACCTTGCTCTCCTCGACTACCGCAATACTCCAACACAAGGATTAGATGCCAGTCCAGCACAGCGACTGATGAACCGCCGAACGAAAACTCTCCTGCCAACGGCAAAATATCTGCTGGTTCCAGGAGTAATCTTTGGGCAACACCAGAAGATTGTGGCCAACAAGCAACGTCAGGCCAAATACTACAATAAAGGGACTCGTGATCTCTCTACACTGAAGTCCGGAGACATTGTCAGAGTGAATCTCTCACCTGACAGCCTAAAACAAGAAGACCTGCGAAAGGCACAAGTCAAGGCGGAGGTCGGGGTGCGAAGCTACGCGGTAGTAACAGAGGACGGTCAGAGATTTCGACGCAACCGCGTGCACCTAAGGAAATCAAATGAGGCTTTCAGCACCTGCCAACCAACAGGGGAGCCGCCCTTTAGCTATGTCACTACACCGTCGACAGCCGCACACGCCACCCTGCCCCTCGATCCTGTCGCTGATAAGTCTCCAGTCAGACCAACTTCTCCCACACCTGCAACAGATCGACCCGGAAGCTCCTAAGGGTCAGACACCCCACCGCCAAATGATGGCCTTTACCGGACCAGGTCCGGCCGTGAGGTCAAACGACCGAAGTACCTTGGAGACTATGTTTAGATAACGATCAAACACTGCGTGATACAGGTCGAGTTACGTAAGCTGATCTCGCCTGGGGACTGGGCCACGTAGCATTGTAAAAAATCAACATACATACCTGAAGACATATTGATTCTGCTCTGAACTTAACTGTCTGTGTCTTGGTTTCCCTATTCTTGTGACATATTACACATGTTTTCATTGTTTTGGTTTTATTTACCTTTCGATGGATATAAATACTTTGTAGAACTTGTAAACAACAGCTCCCGCGATTCGATTCAATATACCGATTGCAAAATTCGAAGTTTCATCAAACGCGCATCCATTCTGTACTTTTTGTTTGGCAGTTCGAACGGCTGCCATCATCCGTTGGAAATATTTATTAGGCCGTTCGAACGGGTAGCATCATCCGTTCGAATGCTTTTCTTTAGCCGTTTGAACGGTATTTGAAACCGTTTTAAAAGGCTTTAACATCCGTTCCCCATCCGTTCGCTAGCCTTTCGCTACCCATCTGATAGCCGTTCGTTTTGACCATTTAACGGATATCCGTTAGTGTGCGTTTGCGCGTGAGAGGTCACATTCTATCGTTTTTTATTCATAATTGTACCTTATTATTTATACATGTGGATATATCAAAGACCATACCTTTCACAGTTCAAAGAAGCCGAAGTGCGCCGCAAAGTATGGTGTACACCACACTTGAGAACATACTTGACCAATAGGAAATGGAAGCCAACCGAATAAATAACTTGCTTAAATTTTATGCAATTGCGAGTTAGATGACTTGCTTGAATTTCATTTTCATAGACAGACTAAACCACCGCTTTGAATATCATCCGACACCAAATGCGCTTGCGCAAATTGCAAATCAGCTGCTGTTTCAAGTTTCAGCCAGGCCATTTCTTTGCAACCGAACAACTCTATGGAACATTGGACGAGTCACACGGAAATGCGTTGCCCTAAAACAATTCTTTGCCGAAAACCTCGTCGTTGGGTAATTCTAGAGAAATACAGAAATTGTCGTTTGTGTTGTTTGTGTCCTAAGCAACAAAGCAAATATATGCATTTCTTCACGATTTTACTGCCGAACAATCGCATTTGTGATATGTGTGACTGATTTCACTGCGAAAATGCTTGAAGTAATATTATTCGTCATAAGGGGGGTAAGCCAAGTTTTCTAAAGTGCGACTCGAGATTTTCAAGTGCACTTGAGTGAGGTGCTTATTTGAAACTAACTTAACTTCTAGTGTGAGGCCAAGTAACGACGCAAACGTACTGATCTTGGGCCATCTGTGAAGGGTTTAGGGGTACTTATTTCTGCTCCCACCTCCTTCTTCCCACCTCCCTCCTAGATAGGTTTTATGTTAGTCCATAGCAAGATTACGCACCGGTACACCTTGGTGGGAAAAAAAAGCAAAGGTATGATGGTATTCGACATCTAACAAAAGTTTGATTTTCCAGATCATCTTTTTGCACGGTTAAGAAACGAAGAAGCTATGAACAACATAGAAGACATCTTACAAGTCATCTGTATTGGCTTGGCTGTTGCTACTTTCCTTCTCAACACTGGTCGTGGTCTCAAAGCCATTGAGGTCTGCAAAGAATGTTTGATTTTC